ATCAAGTCCTTGAACACTTCATTCATCAGTCGCTGGTATGTAGCGCCTACATTCTTCAGGCCAAAGGGCATCATAGTATAACAGTAATTGGCGTTCTGGGTGATGAACGCCGTCTTGATTTGATCTTCTTCAAGTAATGGAATTTGATTGTAACCAGAGTAAGCATCCATGAATGAGAGTATATTGAACCTGGATGCATTATCCACCAGCTGATCAATGCTTGGAAAGGGATAAGCATCCTTGGGGCATACCTTGTTTAGGTCAGTATAATCGACGCACATCCTCCACGCCCCACTGGGCTTTTTAACCAATACCGGGTTGGAGAGCCAAGTTGTATATTTGACTTTTTTTTATGAAGCCAGTGACATGGAGCCTTTCCACTTCCTCGTCGATTACCCTCTGGCGATCCGGGCCAAACTTCCTTTTCTTCTGCGCCACGGGCTTTGCTTTGGGGTGTATGGACAGTCGGTGGCAGCACACTTCAGGATCTATACCTGGCATATCTGATGGCTTCCAGGCGAAGAGGTCTCTATTGCTACGTAGCAGTTTGATCAGCTTACTCTTAATTTATGGATCAGTGATCGCCCCGATAATAATCGTCTGGTGTTCGGCGTCGCCCAAAACGACATGATCTAACTCTCCTTCAGGCGTGGGCCTGGAATGTTCTGCTCGAGGGTCATCCCTAGCGTCGAATTCTACAAGAAAACATTGGTCGAGCTCTTTGTTATTTCTGCTAGTATTTTCTTCCTTTACCTGCGATGTCACCACTTGGGGCGTTGGTTGGTCTTTGAAGGTGACCTTAGGTGCTGGTCTCAGAGATATATTGTAGCAACTCCTGGCTACTATCTGGTCACCTTTTACCGTCGCGACCTTGTTGTCCCTCGCCACGAACTTCATCGCCAAGTGCGGGTGCGATATGCTTGCTTCAAACGCGGCGAGCATCCTTCTGCCGAGGATAACGTTGTAAGCTGATTGGGTGTCAAGCACCAGGAACTGGATTTCGGCTGACCTTGATGGGGGAGGCGTTCCCAAAGACAAACGCAGGTTTATCATTCCAAGAGGCTTGGTGGTAGTTGCATTGAAACCTGGAAGTTCACCTGCAACTAGGGTTAAGTCATTAGCAGTAAATCCTAACGCCCTGAAACATGGCAAAAATAAGATATCGGCAGAGTTGCCGTGGTCCACAAACATGCGATTGACGCCGAAATTGGCGATTATTTCTTGAATGACAAGAGGGTCATCGTGTCCAGGAAGGACTTCGCCGAAATCGTTGCAATCCCACACGATTTTGGGCTTGGCAGGACCTGAATCCGCTCGTACTTTGCTAATGACTTTACCCGCAACCGCCAAACATTGTTTCAGGTGCCTCTTCTTGGCGTTGACTGATTCTCCGCCTCCGCTCAGCCCTCCTGATATTATGTTTATCACCCCCGTGCCTGATAACTGCTGAATCTTCGTCATCTCCTTCCTTCCTACCTCCATTGCTTTGGCTAACCGGCACTCTGCGGTCTCGTGGGGAGCCTTCTCTGCGATCTCGTTCGCGGCGAGGTTGATAACTAGGTTGGTTGTTTCTTTTTTGTTCTGGCTACCTGCTATGCTTGCGGTGTCGCCTTCTTGTGCCGGCTGGGCGTGCCGCATCACCACCATGCCTTTAAGCACCGCCTTTGATGAGCTCATCAATCTCATCTTTGAGGTGCCTGCCCTCCTCGGTACTATGGCCGTTGCTACGGTGGAACTTGCAGTACGCGGCTGCTTCTCTGATCGGCTGCTGGGGCCGTTGGTTACTCTTGGGCTCTTCTTTGTACTCCGGTTGTAGGACACTGTGTGACTGGCGTCCTGATGAGCCACGTTCCGAAGGGCGAATGGCGTACTTAAACGGTTTGTGACCCTTCCTGCTTTCTTCAACTTGGTTCTTACTTTTGCTGACCGTCTTCTCTTAGTTATGGGCGTCATCAACTCGACTCCCGTTATACTCTTCAATTCTCATGAACTCCTGGGCTTTTTTCCTGACCTCTTCTAAGTCAGTAATTTCATGTCGGGCGAGTTCGTAAGCGAACGCTCCCTGTCGCAAGCCTGAAAGAAGTATATGTACCTACACCTTTGGGTCTAAGCCCTGCACCTGCAAAGCCTCTTTATCAAAGCGGTCTAAAAAAGATCTGAGGGACTCACTAGATTGTTGGCGAATCTTTTCAAGGGAATGAACGGACTTAGGCACGGGGCGACTGGTTGCGAAGTGGGACTGGAACTTGTTTGCCAAATCGTCCCAGGACACAATGCTACCGGTGGGTAGAGTGGTATACCATGTCAGCGCTCTCCCTCCCAGAAGCGTTGGGAAAGTCCTGCACATGAGGAGATCTGTTTCGCCGTGAAGAGTCATGGCCGCTTCAAACTTTTGGATCCACTCAAAAGGATCGGTGTCAGCAATATACGTGGTGATGTTGGATGGGCCTTTGAAACCGAGGGGTATGGGAGTTAACCGCAAGCTATCGGTCAAGGGTTTGTTGCGTCCTGACGTATGAGCAGGTGTTATCCTTACATTAGGGTTGCGTGCATGCTGGTCCGGTTGTGGGTGGGGTATAAGTGGGACCTCAACCGAATAAGAGAGAGTTGGGGCGTGGTTCAAGGGCTGGTGGGCGCCATATGGTGGTTGACCAGGATTTTGATAAGACCCTTGGGGTTGTGGGATGGCCACGTTATGAGGTTGCATAGCGTAACCGTGGAAAGGAAAACCAGCGAGGTAAGGTTGAGGGATGGGAGAAGCAACGTTATGAGTGTAAGGTCCTGGGGGGTATGGGGCGACCATAGGGACTCGATGATCATTATACATTGCGACTGGCTGGCTTTGAGCTGGTTGTGGACGATGGGCGAGTGGGATGGCTAGTGGAGCAGTAGTAGGGAATGGGATTCCGAAATGAACTCCTGGCGGTAGGGGCTGGTTTGGGAACAAATTTTCTCCTTGCATTTCACGCATAGGTGCGCGATGGTTCAACTGTGCTATTCTGTCGTCGGCTACTGGCAACTGCTGGCCAACAGATTGTAATACCGGGGGGAGAGCCTCGCCAGCGGCTCGCCCTGCTGGGGCTGAATGCATGGACGGCGGGGAGTTGGAACGTGCTGTTTGCACGTGACCGTCAGGGGTAACGGCCCTGGCTTGTTCCGCTCTTCTGGTAGTGACAACCATGTTTAGTTATCTAGTTCTGAAGTGCGTTTTGTGGATCTTTGGTAGGAGAATGAAAATAGAAGTTTATAGTTTCCCACAGACGACGCCAATGTACCGTAGGGATCTATAAGCCCACTATGTTCCCTTCAGGGATGAGTCACTATATGGATAATACCCTTAGCAGAGGTACAGACCAAGCTAAGAGGTACTTTGCCCAGTATAAGCAAACAATCAACAATCGTAAGTAAGCGACAATATGACTCAAAGTAAATGGGCAGAACAACGATACATAAGATACCTTCATGATGTGCCCAAGGGGGCTATTTATAGGGGAAACGGTGTGGGTTGGTGAGGAGGGAGTCAACCCTCCTTGGGATTTACTCTCATGGTGGTAGTGTTTGGCGTGGCAGGCGCTGCTGTTGTAGCAGCGCTGCGCCTTCTGTGCCTGGCGATGTCAGCGTCGGGCAAAGGGACAGTTTCCCTTTAAGGTGCCTGTGACAGTCGCCTTTGGGGGGTTAAGGTCCCAAGATGGGACATTTTGGTGCTTACCCTTGGACGTGTCGCAGCATTGGGGGATGAGAGGATCCACGTCAGCCCTTAGGGCTGATATGGGTTAGAGCCTCGAGTTAGGCCGCTTAGTAGTTGGGCCATCCAGAACAGTAGGTCCCGTGACAACAAAACAAATTGAAAGCGGTAAGTAGCAATGATAGAGAAAAATGTTATAAAAATGTAATTAATGTAAAATTAATGTGACTTCTTTTTATAAGTTTAAATTTTAAATTTATTAGAACATGCGATGTGGTTATAAATTTGATCTTATTTTTTCATTTTATTAATCAGAAAAATATTTTTGCAGTTAATGCAGATAAATTATTTGCATTTATTTTTAAAATGACGTCGTTTTGAGATTGAAAGATTAAAAAATTATAATTAAAAATATTATAATAACCCTGAAATAAATTAAAATTATAAAAATATCATGATTTTCGCTCCAAAATGGTGTTGTATTGGGCTTACTGTAAATAACTTATTTGCAGTAACTGCAGAAAAAACGAAACCTTTATTATATATAATTAAATGTTATGGAATTTTATAATTGAATTAAATGGTGACCTTCACTGTTTTTAAATTGAATTAATTCTAAAATAAAAAAAAACTTATGACATGTTCGGTTAATGGTAAAAATGGGAGATCATTGCCCCACTTAAATACGCAGGGTAAGATGACTCTCCTCTATGTGAAAACTATATGTAGTTTGCATTTCGATCATGGGTCTTATAAAACGGGATTTGCATTCATCATTTAAGATGATCACAAAAAGTTTCTTACACACAATTTTTTGTGGGATCCGTATGTTATAAAGAAAAAAAAATTACGGCACGCAAAACGAATCTCTATAACATAATACATTCTACAACATAACTCTTATGAAACCCTTTATAAATTTAAGTGAGTAGTTATTTTTTCTCTGATTATCAATTTTTGTTTATAATTGGAACAACTATGAATAGAACGGATTATTTTTTTTTGGGTGCTACGATACGATAGCACTTAAGTCGTGCTCTTCTTTGCCAAATAAATAAGAAAAATTTAATCACATTTGAATCCAGATGATTTTGGATAATTCTCTTTGAATCCTCGTTTTGTTTCATTTTTTGGAAATGGGTATTTTGATTATGACATTTCTGAACTTATTATACATATCACCTACCTCTTTATCGCCTAGCTATAAAGTCTCCTTGTGGTCATTCTTAATTTCTTGGCTACAATATACAGTACTACTTTCTATTTTCTTCTCTGATTGAAAAACATTGTGGTTATTATTATTGCCTAAAGTTCCATGGCTGAAGAAGTCAAGCATCATAACATGGTGAAGGTCATAGATCAGTGTCAAGTTAGTCCTCCTTCATCTTCTGTTCCTTCCACCTCCATTCCTCTTTCTTTCCTTGACATCCCTTGGCTTTCCTGCACTTTAATAAAAAAGATTTTCTTCTATGAGTTCCCTTATTCTACACAGCACTTCCTCCAAACAGTGGTTCCTATTCTCAAACACTCTCTTTCACTCACTCTCCAACGCTTCTTCCCCTTGGCTGCTAATGTGGCTTTCACTCGCAAACCCCACACTCCTCACATACTCTACTCCGAAGGTGACTTTGTCTCCTTCACCGTCGCAGAATCCACAGCAGATTTCACCAGCCTCGTAGTATCTGATTCCCCAAGAGATGTTAGAGATGCTTATCCACTTGTTCCCGTCCATCCTTCATCACGTACCTTAGAAGATGGCACATTGTTGCTACAAACCATGGCCATTCAGGTCACGGTTTTTGCCAACTCTGGATTCAGCATTTGCCTCAGTTTCAGACACGAAATTGCGGATGGTAGAGCTTTTGATCATTTCATGAAATTTTGGGCCACTGTTTGTAGGTCAAAAGGGGACTTCACTTCACTCGAAGGCTCTCTTCCTATGCCGTTGCACAAAAGGGACATAATTGAAGATCCAAAAGGGCTCAAGCCCATTTTCTTGGAGACGAAGTGGAATTTGCCACGGGAAAGCATAGAACACACGAGCCTTGTCCATGATGCTCCTAGCGACGACATGGTGCGTCATAGATTTATATTAAGCCGTAACCAACTTGAGAAACTAAAGAAATGGATCGCTTTCAAATGTCAAAGTATAGGTGTAGAGACATTGCACTTATCAACTTTCGTTGTGACATGTTCTTTGGTTTGGGTTTGTATTGTAAAATCAGAAGACACCAACATCGACAATGTTCCCAATAATAATGATGATTATTATTGCTGCTTGGGTTTTGCAGCAGATTGCCGTAACTTTCCCGAGTTTTCAATTCCATCATACTTTGGAAACTGCTTGAGCGCTGGCCTTGCGGCACTTATGAGGAGTAAGCTATTGGGAGAAAATGGAATTTTTGAGGCAGCGAGTGCTATTGGAAACAAAGTTAGAGATGTGCAGGGTGATCCTATGAAAGGGGTTGAAGCGTTTGGGTTAGCTAAGGAAAAAGTAGCGTTGAACGTGGAGCGTGTGTTTAAAATCGCAGGATCACCAAAGATTTATGCGTATGAGACTGACTTTGGATGGGGAAAGCCCAAGTTATATGAAATTCTTCATGCAGATGATGGTGAAACAATCTGTCTTTCTGATTGTAGGGACGAAGAAGGTGGCGTTGAAGTTGGGGTAGCATTCAAAGGAATTCAAATGAAGAAATTTAATGCCATCTTGGAAGACCAACTTAGAAATATTGCTATTCCTTATTCTGCCGTCAATTCCGCATGAATTGCACATCATAAGCTAGCTCCAATGTTTCTAGCTAGGGGTGTGTGATGAGTTCAGAGTCTTCAGACCATGCATGTAATAATAAGTTAAAAAGTTTTTAATTTCTATTCGTGAGTTATGGCCATGTAATAATAAGAAGTTTTTAATTTGATCAGTGTGTGAGTTATGTTCATGTAATAATAAGTTCTCCCTATAATTTTTCTTAGAATCATGTATCTTTTATGGTTATTTTTTTATTATTTACCCCCAATAATATTTTCCATGCAGTACACCTTCAAATTTTGTTAAAACTTAAATTAAACTATCAATTTTACCTTTATAAAATAAATAATTGTAGAGATCGATGAGAATTTTATATTGGAATATTGTTCTTTCTTTTTTTGTGTGCTAATATTGGAATATATTTCTTTATTATTTATCCAACTTCGATTGTCTTCTAAAATTTATACTAAACTGTTAAAATTAATTTCATCCCAAAATTTTTTGAGAGAAAAATTACTATTAAAGCTACAAGAATATTCACAATAATTGTTAACAAGAATGAATGCTTAGAACTATTATTTTTCTTCTTACAAACTTATATATATTTCATAAAACAGACTTGACTTAAGTTATATAAATTTATTAATATTTTAAATTTAATAAATAAAATTAACACTTACTTAAGTAATCAATTTATATGTGAATACTTTTTTTATGGGTTCAAAAATTAAATATATTATTTATATTGTGTATAATAAATATATTTACTTAAGATTTTAGAAAGGAAGTGAATAATCAATTTTGTGATTTTATCAACTATTGTGTATAATTTCAAATTTAATATATTTTTGAGTAAGAGCTATTGATTATGAACAATTTATTTTATCAATCTTAAAAAATAAATTAATGTATAAATAAATTAAAAAGGAAGTTTAAAAAACAAATAAGAAAATTATATGAAATCCTATTATATGAGGATATTTTTTCTATTTAAAGCATATTCTGTCACAATTTGATTCACACCAAACATGTGATATCATATTATTATCTTCTCAGACTGCTTATCTGATACACATCAAACACAGAATAAGACACGAGTTTATCATACTCATATTCTTTCCTATCATTATCCAATCCATTATTATCCTATCATGTACATCAAACGATCGAGCCTATAATCTATTAATAGTATATAATTTAATGTGAAGTTGGACAAAAAAAAGGTAATGTTTATGTTAATTTGAAGAGATTTTCACTATAATCTAATTTAATTAAAAAGCTAATTTATTGTAATCACTATGAAATTTTCATCTCATGAAGTGGGAAAATATGAGTAGGGACACTGTAATAGATAGTCTCACAGTGATTCTTTTTATAAGGGTAAAATGGATAGTATACTTTATTTTTAACGGTGTTAAAAGGAGGATTTCATGGTAAAAATCGTAAAGGAGTAAATGATAATAAAAAATCTATAAAGAGGTAAATGATTCTAAGAAAAACCAAAGGAAATTTTAGAACTCTTCCCAATTTTTTATTAGACTATAACAGAAATTGTTACGCAAAAATCACGTGTTTGAGCTTATAAGTCCAAAGCGCACATAATTATAAGTTGCAAGGACAAATTAGACTTTTATCATAAAAAATTCGGTACAAAAAATGGTTAAATAATTTGAACATGATAACTTCACTTAAAGTTTGATAAAAATATCAAATGAAATAATAAAGACGCACACGTTACATAACTTTTTTTTTTAAGTAAATACACATTAAAAAATGAGGAATGTGATTCTTAAAATTACACATTATAAAAATTTAGGAATCACATTTCATATTTTTTCAAATTTAAGGACCAAACGTGTCTCTAAGTTGGAGGAAAATATCCTCATTATTACGAGACTCAATACATTATTTACTAAAATTAATATATATAGGGGCAGGATCATCTTACACCGGTGTAAGAATAATAAGTCTTACACCAAATCTTAACCGTTGATTTTTTGCATCTAACGGTTAAGATTTAGTAGGTCTCACTCATTAATTAATTTTTAATTCCCAATAAATCTCAACCGTTAGATGCACGGAAATCAATGGTTAAGATTTGGTGTAAGATTTATTATTCTTACACCGGTGTAAGTTGATCCTACCCCATATATATATATATATATATATATATATATATATATATATATATATATATATATATATATATATAAAATTGACTCTACCTATTCCACTCACCCATTAATGTTGATGTCATTTAAGTAATATATTTTTTAATTTTTTTAAAGGAGTATCTCCTCTTATAACACCAAAGATATACTCAAGAGAGAATAAATTTCTTAAACTTTTAAAATAAGAAAAAGTTATTTCTCAAAACGACCACAATTCATAACAAAATAAATAAGCAATATTTATTTTTAAAAGATTGAAAAAAAAAAGAATGGTCGTTAGTTCCCTTTATAATTAAAGAAAAAGACCATGTAATTCAAATTATAGTCAAATTACTCTTGTTAAGTTATATATATCATTAATTCATTCTTGACTGGTCAATATATAATCATATATCATTTGGTGATTATCATTTGAATTGTCAATGGTTTGATTTTATTGTCAATGACTATTAATTATCTTTGGTTGGTCAACTGTCAGTGGCTATCACCCAATTAATAGTTATTGCTCATCTTCGAATGGTTAAATCATTGAATGACTTTGTTTAATTGGTCAACAATCACTGATTGCTATCTTGCAAATGATCATTATTACATTTTTTATTGAAATTTTCATTAAAGTATTGCATTATAATAATTTATCAAATATAATATTGTTAGCTCAATAAAAACACTTATTTTGAACGATTAATTGTACGTGAAGGTTAATCATGGATGTGTACCCTTATTTTCATAACAAATGCTTGTGCGGATCTCCACTTCCAAGCTGCAAGTGATGACTGTTTCTATTTCATTTACATTTTGCGAAGTTTGATAAATAATGTGGTCAATTTGCAAGTCGCATGTGATTTTAATGACCATTGACTCACACCAGTTTGGAATAATTAATCTGTCATGTATGTGTGTCTATCTGTTTTAAATTTTTGAGATTTTCTAATTAGCTTTTTATTTATTTATTTATTTTTCGATTCCTGAGTTTGGTGTTGTTAGACAAAATTATAATTTCCTCTATCATGAGGAAGCGTGTTTGTTGCAAAACTATCTTTACTATTTTCCTTGTATTTCAAATTAGGGGTGCGAAGAAAAGTAAATTATTCAAATTGCACCAAAAAAATCATATTCATTACTTGCCTCAAAAACCAAATCACTTTACTAATCTGATTCGGTTCGAGTTAAAAACTGTACATTTGGTATACATAAGATGTGTCCCATGGAAAATGAAGTATGTTGATATAGGGGGTGCTCATAGTGGCAATGGTAGAGATCAAAACACTAATGAAGCTTCCCATGGTGTGCATAAAGAGGAGGTGTGTGAGAGTGGCTAGGATTGCTCTCCATGGTGGCAGCGCATCAAGCTGAATGGAGGAGAAGAGCTGGTGACAAATAATGTAGTAGACGAAAGCTTCTCGAGAAGAGAATGTGTTCCCAGAGAGAAAGAGACTGAGAGTCTTCATAGATAATAAATATGTATATTCCTTTCTTTAACAACGAAACTCGGCGATATGAATGTATAATAAATAATGCCCAGTGAATTGGGTCTTTGATGTCTAGTTGCTCAGATATGTTGCTCTATGATCATGACCTGCGATAGCATTTAAATAATAGCATTTAAATGACAATAAAAATGTGCCTAGATGGGACGTCGGCCAGACGTCGGCCATCTAGGACTTTTGCCAAGGGGTAACACATCCCGAACTTTGTTTGTCGAGGGGTGGCACATCCCGGACTTTGTTTACCGGGGGTGAGAACTATCCCGACCTTCATAATTAGTTACTGGGGGTGAGAACCATCCCGACCTTCATACCGGGGGTGAGAACCATCCAGGCCTTCATAATCAGTTACCGGGGGTGAGAACCATCCTGACCTTTATACCGGGGGTGAGAATCATTCAGGCCTTCATAATCAGTTACCGGGGGTGAGAACCATCCTGACCTTTATACCGGGGGTGAGAATCATCCAGGCCTTCATAATCAGTTACCGGGGGTGAGAACCATCCTGACCTTCATACCAGGGGTGAGAACCATCCCGACCTTCATAATTAGTTACCAAGGGTGAGAACCATCTCGGCCTTCATAATTAGTTACCGAGGGTGAGAACCATCCCGACCTTCATAATTTCATAATTAGTTACCGGGGGTGAGAACCGTCCCGACCTTCATACCGGGGGTGAGAACCATCCTGGCCTTCATAATTAGTTACCGGGGTGAGAACCATCTCGGCCTTCGTAATTAATTACTAGGAGTGAGAACCATCCTGATCTTCATAATTTCATAATTAGTTACCGGGGGTGAGAACTATCCCGGCCTTCATAATTAGTTAATTAATTACCGGGGGTGAGAACCATCCCAGCCTTCATAATTAGTTACCAGAGGTGAAAACCATCCCGACCTTCATAATTAATTGAGAAACTCATATGAAATTTATAATCATATGAAATTTATAATGATGTTGTTAGAGAGATACATATATATGATATTGAAGAGATGTTATTACTAGGTGTTAAAAATAAAACCTAATAGTGTGAGTCTTGTTGTACACTTTGACATATAAATGTTGGTTGGATAGCTTTTAGTTTATTGATGAATGCCGACCTTCTTGTTGGGGCTCTTTCACCGATTGAGGTTTTTTGTGATTTTCATTTATCAATTTGGTATTTGGTTCAAGGTATTTACGAATTGGGGTCATTTAGTGACGCGAGGGGGACCCAGCGTCACTGAGTGCCGCTACCATCCCCTCGCGTCACTCTCACTTTTTTTATTTTTTTTTTTACTTTTTCCTATTGAGTGCCGCCCCCCTCCCCTGAGGCACTCACAGAATTGTGCCAAGTGGCACAATCTGGTTACTCATATTA